GCGCACAACATCTCTCTAAAATTTTATCGCATTGTAATAATGTAGAGGAGCGCATACGGAAATTATTTTTTATAAAGCTCCTAATGTACGGAAAAAAACACGAATTTGGGGCGATTGCCAAAAAAAAAAACCGGAATATTTTAGTAGAGTTATAATGGCTTAGAAAAATGCTCTGGCTTATGGACAACAACTCACCTCAGTTTTATCGCAAGCGCTTGAATGATGTAGGAGCGCATGCGGTTTGAAATTATATTTATATAGCTCATTTTGTAAGAAACAAACATAGGGCCCCTGGCTCAACACTGAATATTTTAAAACGGTTATAGTAATTTAAGAACCTTTGTGGGCGATAGAACAACATCTCACTAAATTTTTATCGCATTCTGAAAAATGGTATAGGAGCGCATAGAAAATTATTTTTTTACAAAGCGCATATAAGAAAAAATAAGAATTTGGGTCAACGGCCCAAAACGGAATATTTTAAAAAGGTTGTAATGAATGGTTATGTTTATAGATAACAACTCGTCAAAGTTTTGTCGCAATCGCGTGAATGGTGCAGGAGCGCATACGGTTTGAAATTATATTTATATAGCTGGTATAAGAAAAAAACGTAAATAAGGCCGCTGGCTAAAATTGGAATATTTTGAAAAGTTTATAATAATTTAAAAACCTCTGTTGCCGTGCTTCAACATCTCACCAAAGTTTTACGTTTTATTGCAATCGGATAAATGGCGTAGGAGCGCATATGAAAATTATTTTTTACATAGCTCATATTAGAAAAAATACGAATTAAGGGCCAACGGCCGAAAACAGAATGTTTTTAAAAGTGTTTAAATAACACAGCAAAATGCACTGGCGCATGGACAACAACTTACTAAGTTTTGTAGCAATCGCGTGATTGGTGTAGGAGCGCATACGGTTTGAAAATATATTTATATAGCTCATATTAGGAAAAACGAATATGAGGGCCCTGGCTCAAAAATGAATACTTTAAAACGGTTGTAATAATTTAGAAACCTTTATAGACAAGCTTGCAACATGTCACCAAAGTTTTATCGGAATCGAATAAATGGTGTAGGAGCGCATATGAAAATTATTTTTTACAAAGCTCATATAAGAAAAAATACGAATTAAGGGCCAACGGCCGAAAACAGAATGTTTTTAAAAGTGTTTAAATAACACAGCAAAATGCACTGGCGCATGGACAACAACTTACTAAGTTTTGTAGCAATCGCATGATTGGTGTAGGAGCGCATACGGTTTGAAAATATATTTATATAGCTCATATTAGGAAAAACGAATGTGAGGCCCCTGGCTCAAAACTGAATAATTTAAAACGATTGTAATAATTTAAAAATGTTTATAGACATGCTCGCAACATTTCACCAAAGTTTTATATGAATCGGATAAATTACGTAGGAGCGCATGTGGAAAATATTTTCAGACAGCTCATATAAGAAAAAAAAACGAATTAAGGGCCAACGGCTAGGAACGGAACAGTTGATAAGGTTTTTAATGACTCAGTTAAATGTCCGGTTATGTGGAAAACAACTGCTTAAAGTTTTGTCGCAATCGCATGAAAGGTGTAGGAGCGCATACGAGACATACAGACATACAGACAGACGTACAAACATTCATTTTTATATATATAGAAGATGTAAGTATTATTATTATAAATTACAAATACATTGAAAATAACAATAAAGGACCTTTTTAAAGCATTTTATCCAAATTTGAAAGTTAAGAATCACATCATAATCGCATTTATCAGGAAAATTAGAGGAATGTGATTTTTTTTCGTTTAGTGCAGTTTTAGTGCGTTGTTAATGTCGCAAAGAAAATTAAAATTAATTTGATCTAAATAATCACACAGATGACGTCATAGCGCAACGCTCTAAGTTTCTTTGATTAAATAACAAAAATGATAATGTATTTTCATCTTTCTTGAAGGGAAAATTAATAAATATAATTGATTGCTTTTTTAAATTGTTAATAAAACACAAACAAAAAAAGTAAATTATCTTTGTATTATTATAATTTAATAAGTTTTTACTTGTTTTTTTTTTTCATTCCAAAAATATACTTTTAGGAATTTAATTTATAAAGCAATAAAAACCTAACATTAAAAACTACTTTTAATCAGATCATGCCTTTAAGCTTAAGTCAATAAGTGTTGCCAAACTCCAAATCCAAATGGCATTCACTAATGCCCTTA